GCCCCAACTAGGAATTGAACTGGCGACCTTTCTGTGCACTGGACAACGCTCAACCAACTGAACCACACTGACCAGGGCAGCTTTTTTAAATAATGAAACATTCCCATGTCTATCACTGCAGAATGGTCAAGTAAATGATGGTCCATCTATTGTAGATGATGCTATAGTATCAGTAAAAAGAATGAGTTGAATAGACACTGAGTGGCCAGATTATTATGACCACCTGACGTTTGTAGGCAAATTAGCTATAATTTCGTGCTGAAGTTGCTAGAGGGCCAGACCATTATAAATAGGGAAGCAGGTTGTTTACCACGACAGTAGAAGTGCTTTTTTTTAAGATATGGGTAAACAACGCAATTTAACAGCCTTTGAATGTGGGATACATTTGAACGTGAGTGGCCAGATTATTATGACCACTTGATGTTTGTAGGCAAATTAGCTGTACACTGCATCGTATGGGATATGGAAGCTGAAGGCCTGTTTGAACACCTTTGCTGTCTGCAGATACCAAGATAAACCATCTTCAATTTGGTGATCCAAATGGAGATGGCTTCTTTCATCAAGACAATGTGCCATGCCATGGTGTTCATATTGTGCAGGAGTGGTTTCAAGAACATGAGGGAGACTTTATCTTGTCTAGGTGGCCCTACAATCACCAGATCTCAATCCAATTGAGCATTTGTGGGACGAAGTTAAAAACCATCAGGCAGCTGGTTCCGCAACCATCCAATCTCACAGAACTGGACAGTGCTAGTCATCAGGCATGGTGTCAGATTCCTCGCATCACCTTTAACATCTCGTGGAGTCAATGCCAAGAAGAATCGCCGCAGTATTGAAGGCAAAAGGTGGCCCAACGAAGTACTGATGGGGTGGTCATCATAATCTGGCCACTCATGTTCAAATATATCCCACGTTCAAAGGCTGTTAAATCACGTTGTTTACCCATATCTTCAGACACAATTCACTTCTACTGTCGTGGTAAACAACCTGCTTCCCTGTTTATAATGGTCTGGCCCTCTAGCAACTTCAGCGCGAAATTATAGCTAATTTGCCTACAAACATCAGGTGGTCATAATAATCTGGCCACTCAGTGTACAGATTCATGTGAAAAGCTCTCCAAGATCAACTACGAAGTGAAAAATGAAAATTAAGTGGCGGCAATAGCAGATGATAGGATCTATCTCTATAGAGATCCCCTCCGCATTGATAAAGTCTGCAGTGAGGTCTGTGATGGGAAGAAGTCGATAAGGGAGACTTCGGTTTTCTTTGTGCTTTTTTGTTTACAATGAAAATGTGTTCAAGAAATAAGGTGATTATTTGTTCGTCAATGTTCATAGAAGCATTATTCACAATAGCTAAAGGTGGAAACATGTCCACCAACAGGTGACTGGGTAGACAAATTATGGTAGAAACATACAATGGGATATCACTCAGCCTGAAAAAGGAAAGAATTTCTGACACATGCTACCATAGGGATGAACTTCGAGGACATGATGCTAAGTGAAACAAACCAGACATAAAAAGACAAACACTGCATGATGGCACTTACACGAGGTCCCCAGGGCAGTAAAATTCATAGAGCCAGATTGCAGAATGGTGGAAGCAGGGGCTGGTGGGGGAGTGGGGGGGCGGGCAGGAAGTAGGGAATGGAGAGTTCATGTTTAATGGGTACAGGGTTTCAGTTTGGGATGATGAAAAAGTTCTGGACAGGAATGGTTTATAGTTGCACAACTGTATGAATCTACTTAATGCCATGACACTGTACACTTGAAAATGTTAAAAATGGTAAGTTTTATATTACGTATATTTTACCCAATTAAAAAATGATAAATAAAAATAGCGATGCATGCCATTATAAAAAATAGTAATAATAATAAATAGAGTGAACTGAACTGATGCTGAAGGGTCCCCTTCATTAAAAAAACATATAGACTGGGCAATATATTACCAAAAAAATGTCCATATAGAACCAAGCTCAAAATAAAGAATGAATCGTACAGAAGTGCCAGAAACAACAAGGGAGCTACAATGCAGAGACGAAAGCAGAAGCCAGCCTGGAGGAGGCCCACGGAAAGCTCAGACGGACAGAGGCTCGGGGACTAGAGGCTGAAAACCGCACCGTCAACTCCACAAACTGAGCCTCAGCCCGTGGGAGCTGGTGAGGCAGTAAAGTGGGCCCGCTGCACAGCAGGGACTGTGGCAGGGCTGCTCCATCCATAAGGGTACTTAGAAACACAACACTCCTTAGCAGGAGCAGCACGGAAACCATTCACAGACAGCGAAGCAGGAAAAAGTCACACGTGAGTAACGAAGACCCTCAGCTTCTGCCACCGGTGGGTGTGGGGTCTAAATCGGCACCACTCGCCAGCATGGACACACGGAGCTGTAAGTTGAGCGTGTAAACCGTCCAAGATCTGGGAGACACTCGGGCCCAGCAGAGACACACGACCACGTTTCAGGGAAGGATGTCTGAGGGAGGCAGGAGTAGAGCTCTATCTGTGCCACCGATTTTGACATAAGCCTTTCCCTCGGAGCCTCTCCTAAGGCCCCCTCTTCAGTCTGTTTAATTGCATAGTTTTCCTCTCTGCTGTGAGCTCCTCAGAGAGTGGCAATGCCAGCCTACTCCTGTTGATTTCCCCCACTTCTAGCCCAGGGTCGAGCCTGTCGTGGCTCCATAAATGACTGTTGAAATGAATGAAATTAATGTGTGTGTTCTGTTGTGTTGTGGGAATTCGCATTAGGAGTCTCCTGGGGAATGAGACTCAGAAGGAGCTGGAAACAGGGCTGGTTCCCTCTTCCTCTCCTCCTCTCCTCTCTCGCCCTCCTGCTCCCCATCTGTGCTGGGAGGAGACAGCATCAATCCTCAACGCAACCAAGCACTGCCCCTAATTCAGCCTCTCCTGAATACCATGCAGCGTCGGTGAGCGTGGTACCTGTGCACCACCTTTCACTCTTCCCCCCGCTTCCAGCAAGCTCATGGCCTGGTATTGAATGCACGCTGCAAGTATTAGCTCGTTTAATCCTCACAGCTTTTGTGCTGGCCCCGCTCTGCAGAGGAAGAAGCACAAAGCCACAAGCCTTTCCCTGGCCACAAAGCCACAGACCGGCAGGGCCAAGGTTCAAACCCCAGACCTCTTAGATTCCAGAGATGCAGTCGCCGCCTCTCCCACCAATCTCCCTCTGCTTCCTTCTCTCCTGCCCCCCCCCCCGCCCCCCCGGCCGCACTGCCTCTCGCTCACCCACTCCTTAGCTCACACTGTGTCTGAGTCACATAGCTTTTGGCAGGCAAGTGAGGCTGGTGGTGGGACCTGGGTGGCCAGATGGGTGGTGAGTACAAGTCTGGGGTTGTCTTTTTGTAGCTACCAAGCATTGTCCTGGGGAAGCATCTGGAGCCCATGACCTCTTGTGGGCCCCCTGCAGGGTCCCCAGGTGAAGGAAAGAGCAAACGAGGGTCCATCGGCAAATGTGTGCCTGTGAAGACCGGAAACTGGCCCTGGGCTGGCCTTGATGATCAGACGCAGAGCCTGCCTTCCTGGGACAGTGACAGTGGCCTAGGGGTGGGGCTTTCCTTTAAGACTCTGGGCTTCATGGCCTCCGTCCTATCTGGGAGGAGAAGCCCTGGTCTGGGAATCAAGAGCCTAGAGATCTGAGTGTGATGCTGCCACCAACTTGGAGGACCTTGGGCAAGACAGGGCTTCTCTGAGCCTTGGGTTTCTTCACTTGCCTATTAGAACCATCACCCCAGGCCTGTCCATTCCTCAGGATAGGCCCTTTGCCAGGGGAGGGCTCAAAACCAAGGAGGTAGGATGGGGTGAGGAAAGGCGCAGAGGCTGCAGGCAAGTCAGCCATCACTGAGACGGCCAACAGCAAGATGTGTTTTTCTCTTGGGCTGGCCCAGCGCATTTCCCCGAACAGATCCTGATACGATGGCCTTCCCGGGCTAGCAGCTCTGGCCCAGACCGTGACTGAGGCATTTCTGGACCAGGAGAGGAAGAAAAGAGGAGATGAGGATGAGGGGAAATCGAAGGAGTGATATAGGGGGTGGGGAGGAGGGAGAGAAAGAACTGGCCTCAGGATGACAAATACGGAGGTTAGCACCTACATCTGGGATAGGTGGGAGCCTCACACCAGTCCCACCTTCATCATATACAGCTCCTCTCTGAGCCTCGGTTTCCCCATATGTCATCTCAGATGTTATGACCACCTCTGCTACATCCTCCACTTGCCTTTCAAAGCCTGGCTCCATAGCTTCATTGTCAGGAACCTTTCCTTGAGCCACCCTCTCCTGCCTCCTTCCTAAATTCCTGTCTCTCACCTCTGGGCCCAACAACCTTCCACTTAAGCCCAACTCCCTTAGGTCTTGACTTACATTGTGAGACACATCACAAGCCAGGGGCCTCGGTTGAGTCACCTTTGGTTCCTCCTATAAGCACTTTACACACAGTAGATTTTTAACAAACATTCTGTTAGCGACGCAATGTGGTCTAATGGACAGATGGATGGCTGCCTAAAAGGATATGGCTGCTTTGTCTGCTGATTAATCTTCTGGTCAAAACTCGTCTCCATAAAAAGCCTCCTGGATTAATTCCCAGCCACAACTCTGTCTTCAACAACTCAGTCCAAAACTTAAGTCTCCTGCTTCTGCCCCTCCGCCCTGCTCCCTCTCAAAGGCCCCTCCAGGTGCTACCCTAGTTTACCAAACAGATTCCAGCACGATAGGCCTGGCCTGGCAGTCCAAAGAGCTTGGACCCTGCCACCTACCCTTAGTTACCCATTCTCCTGGGGACAAAGGACGCTCTGTGAAAGACCCTGGAACTTCTCTGCTGCAGAAAACCCCACAAAAGTCTCCATGAAGGTTCCTGCAGGTCACAGAATTCAGGGCTCACAGGCTCAGAGAGGGGAGGTGCCCAGAAAGATAGAAGACCCAAGCCCTAGCACTTCGACCTGCCCTGCAATGTACATATGTACACACCCTGGTCGTGAGAGAAGCAGAATCTCACCTTGATGCTCCTCCAGTTTGCCCATGGTCTCCATCTGCTCCACCAGGTCATTCGAATTCCACTGGCTCATCCCGATGAGGATGGCATTCTTCCCTTCAGCCACCTCCTCTGTGGAAGGAGCAGAGATGTGCATGAGCAGGCGGGCAGGGTATAGGTAGTCCTGACAGGAGCTTATATCTGAGGGCGTACTTATGCCTTCCTTTGACTTGAAGTGTCTGTAGTTATGACAGGTACAAGGCACTCGGGAATTTTTCATCCAAAGAAAGTCACGAGAGAGGCTGAAAACCCACAGAAGGCTCCATTTCTAGCCCTAAGAGAGATATTTCTTGAAAGGAAGTGTGCTTGGGGGTGGAGGGGGTCCTTGCCACCGCTAGCAGTTTTTCTTTGGGTCAGTTACTTGCCTTCTGAGCTTCAGGTTTCCCATCAGTAACATGGGGCAGGAAGTATCTCACTCACAGAGCTGTTGTGAGGACTAACTGAGATAATGGGTGTAAAGGCCTCAGCGCATAGAGGGTGGTCATAAGCGAGCGATTTCACGGTTATTTCTTCACATGAGAAGTGGGTTGCCATCAGTATTTGAGTGGACCTGGATTTGAGTGGAGCAGGGGCAGCTCTAGAGTAACTGGAAGAGCAGAAGACTTCTGCTCTAAGCGAGCCTTGAGCTGTGTAGAACCCTTAGCCCACATCGTAACCTTATGAACTTATTAATGCCTTCATTCCCCATCCCTAGTCCTCCCCTCAACCCTGTCTGTATCTTTGCTCTTTCCCAGTCTGAGCTTGGTGATTACTCTGAGAGAAATTGATGGGGCCACATTCCCTAACCACACTGAATACAGGTCCCTGGGTCCCACACATCTGATGTAGGCCCTCATTCCAGAAAGGGGCATTTCCTCAAGAACAGACCCACAGAAGTGGCCGCCCTCTCTCTTTGAAGGGCCTTCCTGGTAAAGAGCTTTGTGTCCTCCCTTGTGGAATAGACATTAAAGAGTGGTGTGGAGAATCCTCAAGCTCATGATAACCAAAAATAAAGGAACAAGACCCATTTCACTGCCAAAGAACTTTACAGAGCAGATGGGACCAATATGGTGGATCTGAAGCTTGGGGCACTGTCCAGAGTTCTGAATTCCCCTAGAACTCAGTAATCTAGGACCCACATCTGGCTGGGGCATGGATCATGATGATGGTGATGATGATTCCTGAGTTATTTGATTCATTTGATTGCTTTAACAACACATCAAATCCTTACTATGCACTGAGCTTATTATAGGTGCTTTTGAAATATTAATTCACTTAATTTTCATAAAATGCTAAAAAAGTACAATTATTATTATCTCCATTTTAGGCATGGAGTAGTTCAGGAATTTGCCCAATATCACTGTCTAAAGCCAGAATTGAAACCTAGATATACTATTTCAAGAGTCCTTAAATCTTCCCAGCTGGTGTTGCTCAGTGGTTGAACATTGACCCATGCACCAAGAGTTGCTGGTTCAATTCCAGGTCAGGGCACATGCCCAGATGGTGGGCCTGATCCCCAGTCGGGGGCATGTTGGAGGCAGCCAATTGATGATTCTCTTTTATTGATATTTCTATCGTTCTCTCCCTCTCCCTTTCTCTCTCTCTAAAATCAATAAGCACATTTTTTTAAGAGTCCTAAAATCTTGTCCTCCCAATGGCCTACCATGGGCATCTTTTATTGGTTTCCCAACACTCCAGCCAGGCACCACTCACACCAGACAATTTACTCAGTGTGGTGTGTTCCATCTGGGCAGCAGTGCACACCTCTTAGCAGCACTGTGCTCTGGGCAGAGCCCTGACCGGGTCCCAGTCCAGAGAGTGCTACACGTGAGCCTGCTTTGCGTACATCCCTCAGCTTTTCCTGTGGTTTTTTCCCCCCTTAAATGGGAATAACAACGCTAGTTTCACAACTCTGCCTAGCAGGCTGCCATGAGGACAATGACATACCACATTTGCAAAAGCTTCACAAGTCAAAATGCTGCAAACAAACAATGATGATGTTCCACTCTCACCTCCACCCCAGAGGATGTGGTGTATGCCCCAACATTCCCCACATATGCTGTGTTCTGCCCCTGTGACCCTGCCCCAGAGCCAGAGCGGGTAATCAGCCTGTAGCCCACTGTGAGTGATGTGTCTCCTGGCCCTCCGTTGCCCACTTGTTCATTTGAGCATTGTTTCTACAATGAGTGGACTCCTGAGCACCTACTGTGTGCAGTGTGACATGATCTCTACCCTAATTTATGAAATAAATAAATAAATAAATAACTCTGGTGCAGGAGATGAGCATGCTGGGGGTCCTGGTCCAGTGCCCGGTATGCAGTAGGTGCTTACACATCTTAGCTCTCGTTTTTCCTACAATGTGCAAGCCCTATTCCTGGGGTGTGTATGACGCTATCAGAATCCTAGGGTTCTCCCAGGCTCTGAGGTCGAAGCACGCCCACTGCTGCACCATCCTCGGCCTCTTTCCTCTCTTCCTAGTTTTGTGCATGGCCCTCCTCCATCTTGCCCTTTTGGTCTTTTGTCTGTCTTTCTAGTAGATGTGTCTTCCTCTCCAACCCTCACTGTGTTCCTCTATGACTCAGATCTGTCCCACTCAGATCTGATCTTGCCAGATCCCTTCCATTGATCTCTGTCCCTCTTGGTCCTTGTATTTATCTGTGCCTCTCGGGCTCCTAGTGCTCTCAGCCACCTCTGTCCCTCTCTCTGGGTCGACCTCAATCATGCTCCATACTCTTTGCTCTTCCTCTCTCTTCATCCCAGCATCTGTCTCTCTCTCTCTTCTCTCTGGGAAGATGTCTCTGTCTTGATCGCTCTCACTCTCTGGGTTTCTCTTTCTTTCTCTGGGTCCTGTCCCTCAGGAACTCTCTGCCCATGCAGGTCTGTCATGCTTTTTCTGGTCTCTCTCTCCCTCTGAGTCACTGTCTCTCTTTCAACTCTCATCCCAGCATCTGTCTGTGTGTGTGTGTGTGTGTGCGTGTGTGTGTGCGTGTGTGTGTGTGTGTGTCTCTCTCTAACCTTCCCTGGGTCTCCCTTGCTCTCTCTCCCTCTGCTTCTCATCTTTTCATCTTTTCCCTGACTTCTTGGGCTCCCTGCTCCTCCACCACATCCCTGTCTCTCCAGCTGCTCCCCACCCTCCCTTCTCTGTCCCCTGCTCTCAACACTCAGCCTTCAGATTCTCACTATGTTCCCAGAGAGGCAGTGAGAACGCACACACACACACACACACACACACACACACACACACACCACGATTGCTCCTTTCGGAGTCATTCAGGCAAATCTGAGCTCCAGGTCTCCGCTCTACTTCCCCTCACTGTGGTACGTGCATCCCATCAGGGCCCACAGAGGCCACAAATGGCTTCTCTGGATAAATGTCCTGCTTATTGATTTTGCTTTCGGCTTCTGGTGAGTGTTCCCTGCGCACCAATCCTCACCCCCGGTGGCCTCCGGTGTGGACACAGTGTCTGCATCTATGTCACTCCAACTGAGCCCGTCCCTGCCCAGACTAGGTGTCAGGCTGAATCCCATCAGAGGCACCACAAACCTGGCCTGGACCCCAGACTGGCTCCGACCCTGACCGAAGCCTGGATGTACCCCTTTAAGCACAACCTCCGGTGCCGGAAGGAAAGCCTTTCCTCCTCCCAGGCCTGTTTCTGCGGGATCCAGGGGCCTTCAGAGCAGGGAATCTCCTTGCCCCACACCAGGAAGAGGTCGCCTCCCGCTCATGGAGCGAGGGCGTGTCCCCTTCTGCAGCTGGCCAGTCCAACACCGAGCATCACCCTTTGCATCAGGTCCACGGTGCCAGTTTTTCCAAGGACCTGGATGAGCATCCTGGGCCTCCGGGAGACAAGATCACTACCCCTCCCTAGAGCTGTTTGACACCAGCTCCATCCCCTCACCCGCGGCCATCACCACTACTCTCTCTTCACTGCAGCTGAAAGGACCCAAATTCTGCCACCGTGAAGCTGAAGCTGCTTTTTGGAATACTGATTTTAAACTGTTAAACAAAACTCAGACAGAACCGTCGACCCACCCCCCTTTCCTGCCCGAGAGATTCAGACAGACAAACCTGCTTTGGGAAGGCGAGTTTAGGGTGTCACCTTAGCCTAACTGGCATTAAGTGTGGTAAACAGGGGGCCTGTTAGCTAGATACCCTGTGTCCCATTATCTCTGAGGCATTTAGCAAGGATGTGCCCGCCATGTGCGGTCCACCTCCTTCCACTCCCTGCAAATGGCCCATTCTCGCTTCTGAAACCTAACACCCTGTCCCCCCATCCTCCAACCTTCTCCTTTGTCCAAAAATGTCTTATATGCCCAATGTTGCCTCCCTGTCTTTGGAATTTTCATGGAATTATCTGGCCCATGTAAACTCTTCGTGCACATGTCCTGAGGCTACTAGGTCAAGCCTGCTCTCCCGCCCCGTACTGGGACAGCGGACGGACAACACTGAGTGGGCACCCCCCTTGCTCACTCTTGGCACACACGCCTTTCTGCTCATTCTTCCCGTAAAAGCTTTGCGCTGGCTGTTCCCACTGCCCAGAACACTGTTCCCCCAGACACTCACATGGTTCATTTCTTGTTATTCAGTTCTCAGCTCATGGCCATATTTGAAGGCTTCTTACCACCAACCAGTCACTGTCACATTCCCTTATGTTATAATGGAGGGAGTTCCCCCATTTTTTAAACAGTATTCCTGAGACGTAGTGACATTTAGTTCAGTCTACACATTTAAAATGTACAGTTTGAGGGAGCGCCTCTCTATTATTTACCAGTTGGGATGCTGCCTAATTCAGATAAAAAGTAGAATGTACAACTTGGTAATTTTTGACATGTGGACACACCTGTGGAACCATCACCCCAACGGAGACAGTGACCATGTACCCATCGCCCTCAGAAGTTTCCTCCTGTCCCTTTTTAGCCCTCCTTCCTGCCCCAGGCCACCACTGATCTGCTCCCATCGCTACAGATTTGTTTGCATTTTCTGGAGTTTTATATAAATGGCATCATACAATATGTACTTTCTCCATCTGACTCCTTTTACTCAGCTTGCTTATATTTGAGATTCACCCACGTGGTGCGTGTATCCGTGGTTCATTCCCTCTTACAGCCAAGTAGCATTTCATTGCATGAACGTTTATCTAGTCACCCCCTGATGTACATTTGAGTTGTCTTTGGTTCAGAGCTATAACAAATGAAGCCGCTATAAACATTCATGGCCATGTCCCAGGTGAAAGATGCATGCTTTCCTCTTGGGTCAATTACCTAGGATTGGAAGGGCGGGCTCAAGTGACAGTTGACTTTGATTGACTTTTTAAGAAGCTGCAGTCCACTTTCTAAAATGATTGTGCCATTGTCCATTCCCATCAGCAGAGTTTGAACGTTCTAGTTCCTCTGTATCCTGATTAGTTTTTTAAAATATATTTTTATTGATTTCAGAGAGGGACAGAGGGAGACAGAAACATCAATGATGAGAAAGAATCATTGATCTGCTGCCTCCTGCACACTCCCTGTTGGGGGATCGAACCTACAACCTGAGGAATGTGTCCTGACTGGGAATCAAACTATGACCTCCTGGTTCACAGGTTGATGCTCAGCCACTGAGCTACACCAGCTGGGCCTGATCAGCTGTTTTAATGAGCTGTCATAATAGGTGTGTAGTGGTATCTCATGGTTTTAGTAGCATTTAATGACTAATGATGTTGAGCATATTTTAATTGTTTTGTCATTCATGCATATTTTTGGTGATATATCTGTTCCTTTATGTTTATTTTATTTATGCTAATTATCAATATAATTTACATGCTCATATATTGTCTTACCACCACCGCCCATCAACACTAAAGTGCAGGCTCCGGGAGGGCTGGGACAGGACCTGCGTGCCCCTGGAATCCTACCTGGTGCTTGATGGGCAGATACTAGTAAACCTGAAAGAGTGGATGAATGAGTCTGATTTCTGGCTCCTGTTCTCTCTGACTCTGTGTGAGACTGAGCAGGTTGCCCAATTCTCTGGCCCGTTTCCCAGCCTGAAAAATGGGATAGGCTGTCAGACTCAAAACCCCGAGGGCCCCCACCTCTGACATGGCCTGGGTTTCAGGCACAGCCCCTCACTCTGCCCTCCAAACTTGGTGGACCAGGCCATGGCTCCCCAGATGTCCTTTCACTGCATGGACAGGACAGGCAGTGGCAGCTGGTCTGGTCTGGACCCTAGATCCCATCGGCCACCCTGCAGCATCCAATCAGGGGCATCAGCCACCCCCAGCCCCAGGGCTGCTGCCTTGGCCTAAGGAGCCAGCATCTGCCCCAGAGTTGTTATAGACCCAGAGGGCTCCACACTCCCGCCTGACTAACCCCAATCCCTCCTATGCCTTCCATATACAACCAGAATGCCCAGAGCCTTCCCTCTGCTACTAGACCATGAGCAGTGAGGGTCTCTCATCCCACCTGGTAACCCAGCACTGGGCCAAGGGCTGCAGCTTAAGGAAGGAAGGAGGGGAAAAGCCCATATTGCAGTAATAAGTCAAAGAAAAAGGCCTGACCTGGCCATTCAACTCCTGGGTTCTAGCCCCTTCATCCCCACCCTGGTGTGTGATCTTGGGAGGTCCCTTCCATGGTCTGGCCTCAGTTTTCCCATCTTGCACTGAGGAGAAGGAGAACATGGCGTCTGTCCCAGTGGCCTGTTCAGTGCTGACACCTGCCAATATAGTCCCACGAAGGCTGGAGTGGGAACGCCGAGGCAGCAGGATGCAGGGCCTGCTCAGGTGGGGACAGAGGCCACCCTCGGGTCAGGGTCAGGATCAGGGCTCAGCCTGGCTGGAGAAAGGAGGCAGGGAAATGGCCCTTCCAGGAAAGCCCGGGAAGCTGGACACCCATGGCCTGGCCCATGTGCCCAGAGGGCAGGCCAGGCGGGCCTGGACCAGCTCCTGGGAGCAGAGAAGGAGGATGGCTTCACCTCCTACTGCCTTGAGCCAAGGAGACATGCAGAGGCCTTGTCCAGGGAGTCCACACGGAGCAGACAGGAAGGCGGGGAGGTGGCAACTCAGAACTAAAGAGGATTCTCTGGCCTGTGGAGCGGCTCCTGTGGCTGAGGGCTAGGGGTACTCTGCAAGGGCGAGGAGGGAGGGAGCAGAGACGTGAGACTGGTGGGGAGTGCCGAGAGGTGGGGAACCAGCAAAGAGACAGGGAGTCTGGAATTCTGGGGCAGTGAAGAGAAGGAAAGATGGAGTGGGGAGAGCGGAGGAAGAGATGGAGATGGAGGGGCCTCCAGTGAGAGAGAGGTGAAAGAGGAGGCCAATTTGGGAACCGCAGACTGAGCGGAGAGGTCCTGGGAGGGGAGGACGGGGAGCTGAAGGAGGCAGCGGTCAGCAGGGAGGAGAGCAGACGTGTCCACAGCTGCTCTCAGGGAAAGCAGGTGAGCAGGGCCCCGAAGGAGGAAGGTGATGCCTCTGCAGCAAGCCATCCTTGTCATCTGGGAATGCGAGCCCTGAGGCATTCCAAAAATATTTTCAATAAATGTGCTACACGCATCAAAATATTGAAGCCATTGTTGTCACACTGCGGCTTAGTTGCTATGGAGGAACTCGGCTCCAATGGGAGACAGGAAATGAGCCCCAAATGGGCTGGTTTAGGGTTGGCATCAGGGAGAGGGTTCTCTGCCCAGAGCCCAGCATGAGGGAGGCTGGAGCCAGACCGCATCCCACCACCCAGCTGTGCTTCCCGAAAATCACCTGGACTGGGTACCCTCCGTTTCCGGAGACGCAGAGCTAACAGGGAAACTGAGGCCCAGAGAAGGGGAAAGACTTGCCCAGGATCACAAACAAGGTAATGGCATGGGTGAGCCCGTGCCCCGAGTGTGCTGCTCTGGGCGCAGAGGTCTTCCCAGCACCGTGTGTTTCTCCTTCAAGACCCCATTTTGCCAGGCATTTCAGTTGGCTCTGCCCCAGAAGGCAGGTAACCCCCCAAGTATGGTGACTTCCCACGCCAGGCAAGTGAGAAGTGGGGAGCCTCCTGGGCCAGAGAAGAGGCCCTTGTTTGTTCCGCCCACTTGCACACAGCGCCCCCTGTGAGCACACCTGTGAGGGTCCTCTCTCCTGAGTTCCAGACAGACACTGCCTCCCGCCGGTCCTGACGCCTGCCCTCCCAGCCCTTGCTCAGGCTGATCCCTCTGCCTGAAGTGCCTGCCCCACCCGGTGCCCTCTTATCCCGTTTTTGCAAAGCTGCTTGTTCTTCCATCCTGGCTTACAGAATGCCCCTGGCTATGTCCTGTGTGCTGGCCGTGCACTCAGCCCTGGGTAACCACCTGACAGCCTGCCCACCATCGTCTCTCCTCTGAACAGCTGCAACAGGCTTCTAACAGGTCCTACCTCATCGCTCTTTCCCGCCCAGCCGTGGGCTAATCCTATGAGCCACTTACTGGGTCGCAGGCAGCGTCTTCTCTCCTCTTCCCCTGGCTCGCTACCTCCCTGCCATGAGGACCCCCCTTCAGTTCCCAGAATGCCCCATCTTTCCTGCTTCAGCCCCATCATACCTACGGTGTCCTGCCGAGAGGGTCCTTGTCCCACTGCTCACCTAGCCGCCTCCTTCCCTCAGTTCTGCAGAGAGGAAGTTAACGACCCCCCAGCCCTAACCGAGTTAGGTGCCCCTGTCCTCACTCTGAATTAACAGCTGATACCTTTCCTCAGTGTCATTATTCCCCATTCTGATTGCATTTCCCTCCGTGAAACTGTTCAATGCTTGCCTCTCCCACTAGACCAGGGGTTCTCAACCTTCTCGCCCTTTAAATACAGTTCCTCACGTTGTGACCATAAAATTATTTTCGTTGCCACTTCATAACTGTCATGTTGCTACTGTTATGAATCATAATGTAAATATCTGATATGCAGGATGGTCTTAGGCGACCCCTCTGAAAGGGTCGTTCGACCTCCAAAGGGGTCGCGACCCACAGGTTGAGAACCGCTGCTCTAGACTGTAAGCTTGGTGGGGGCATGGCCATGCCTATGAGTTTCCCAAGTATGGGGAGCACCTCGCACAGCTCCTGGGATGTCCGAGGGACTCAGCAAGTACCTCAAAGAGTGAGTGAGTGAGTGAGTGAGTGAGTAAAAGCTGAACCCCAGCCCTCGGGGGTCCCCAGACTGGGTATGAAGGGTGGAACTGAGTGTCTGAGTGGGGAGAGATACTGACCCCCAACAGAGACTCCTTCTTGGGGCTTCCAGAAAGATCAGCCACCAATGATGGGAGCACGCGGTTCACTCACCTCTTGCATCAAAGAATTCATCATCCGAGCTCTCCACTGAGTCGCTGAGGACATTTCGAAGGTGCCAGGGGGCACCGCCGCCCGGGGTGGGGCCACCTGCCAAAGGGAACACACGTGTTAGCCAAGCCTGAGACCAGCACGAAGGAGGTAAACCGGGCGGCCCTGGACCCAGGGTCCGTGGGTGTCCGGCAGGTCCCTGCCCTCTCCTCGCTGGTGCTCAGACCCCACTGAGCCCTCCCACGGCCACGGTTTCATTTCAGCCCATACCTTTCTGAGATAGCGCCGCGGGGGGCAACAAGTGTGCCCGTTTTCTACGCCCTAAAACGGAGCCCGAGGCAGTGAGGGGAGGGTCTAGGTGCCACAGTGCATCAGGAAGCATAAGGTAAGTTTCCCCGTGTTAACACATGATCTCAGCTGCCGGAGACAACAATGGCTGGTTTCTCACTCACACACACTGGTTGGCGGGGGTCTTGTTCATGGCGGCCACCTTGTGATGCCATCCTCTCAGAAGGAGACCCCAAAGCCTGCTGCAGCCGGAGAGGAGAACACAGAGTCCCACCAGGTCGGAGATGCTCCTTCCCGCAGGAGGCGCAGTGCTGCGCGCATTTCATTGGCCGGAGCCAGTCCTGTGGCCATGCCCAACCTCAGGA